GGTGGCTCAACACATGGAGCGACTCGCAAGTGGAACTTCATGGATTCTCTGATGCTTCTCAATTGGCAATGGCTGCAGTCATATACATATCCGTTCACGACTCAAACGGCGCCACGTTCTCACTTGTGTGCTCCAAAACTAAGGTAGCACCTCTCAAGCGGCTCTCAATCCCGCGACTTGAACTCACGGCTGCTCTTCTGCTCTCTCGGCTCATGCAATACGTCACAGCCACTTTGAACATGGACGTTACGGCAACGCATATGTGGACGGACTCTCTAGTGACACTCTCGTGGATCAGATCTCATGCATCACGCTGGAAGGATTTCGTCAGGAACAGGGTGGCTCAAATTCAAGAACTCACTCCAGCTGCTCACTGGAGATACATACCTGGAACTTCGAATCCGGCTGACTGCGCATCACGAGGCCTCACGACTGCTCAGCTTCAAAACCACGCACTTTGGTGGACGGGACCACCATGGATACTCAAACCAGACTCATGGCCGTCGCAACCTGCACTCTCTGACGAGATGAGTGCAACAGAAGCTCGCCCAGGCGTTTCGCTATTGACGGTTACGCCAAGGACTGAATATCAATGGGAACTCATCTACAGGTACTCAAGCCTCACTAAACTATTGAGGATTACAGCTCTCTGTTTCAGATTCGTCTCACGATTGAGGAAAGTCCATGACTCATTGCCTGTCAGACACATCTCTCCAGAGACCTTGGAGAAAGCGAGGCTCTTCTGGATTCAGGCAACTCAAGCAACGTACTTCTCGCACGAGCTCAAGGCATTGCAGGCAGACTCACCGTTAGCAAAGGCGCACGCATTCAACAGATTGACTGCGTACATCGACGCTCAAGGAGTCATTCGCGTCGGCGGACGACTCGCTCACGCAGCTCTCTCATTCGACGCGATACATCCTGTTATATTGCCTCGTCACTCTCAGCTCTCGTCATTGATCGTCATCGCTCACGCTCATCAACGGACTCTACATGGAGGCACGCAGCTTACGCTGTCATACATCCGACAACAATACTGGATTCTCGGCGGGAGGGCTCCTGTCAAGTCTCACATCCTGCGGTGTGTCACGTGTGCTCGGCAGAGGGGGATCCGTGCTCATCAATTGATGGGCCAACTACCTCTCTCTCGGGTTACGCAGGCACGACCGTTCACTCATACAGGGGTGGACTACGCAGGGCCGCTCACCGTCAAAACGTGGAAAGGAAGAGGTGCCAGAACAACGAAAGGCTGGATTTGCGTTTTTGTCTGCTTCTCAACCTCAGCAGTACACCTCGAGGCGGTCAATGACTACTCAACGGAAGGATTCATTGCCGCCTATCGACGTTTCTCATCCAGACGCGGCATTGCTCACACCCTACACTCCGACTGCGGCACCAATTTCATCGGCGCGGATGCAGCTCTCAAAAGGCTGTTTATCCAGAGCACTCAAGAACATCATCGAGTCTCTCACCTGCTCTCGCAAGACAATACTCGATGGGAATTCAATCCCCCAGCGACACCTCACATGGGAGGAAAATGGGAGGCCGTCGTAAAATCTATCAAGTACCACCTACGGCGGACCATTGGAGAAAGCGTGCTCACCTTTGAGGAACTCACCACATTGCTCACTCAAATTGAGGCAATTCTCAATTCGCGCCCGCTCGAACCATTGAGTGACGACGCGGACGACATCTCAGCACTCACGCCAGGCCACTTCCTCGTAGGAAGTCCGCTCACCGCTATACCAGAGCCCTCACTCACCGACCTGGCAATCTCAAGACTCTCTCGATGGCAGCTCATCCAGCAGAAGGCTCAACATTTCTGGACACACTGGGCAGCACATTACCTACATCGACAACAAGCCATCTCAAAGTGGCACCACAGGAACAACGAAATCAAGGTCGGGTCATTGGTGCTCATCACCGACGAGCGGCTACCGCTATGCAAATGGCCGCTAGCCCGGATCACGGCTCTACATCCTGGGAAGGATGGTCTCGTCCGGGTGGTGACTCTGAAGACAGCCACTACCACTCTCATCCGACCAGTAGTCAAGCTCGCCGTTCTGCCAATCTCATCATAAGATCAAGGATCATCAACTACGTTGCTGATGGCGGGGAGAATGTTCCGGATTCAATTATGAATCGCGGTCTGTTCGTCACCGGCGTGATGGCAGCATCAGCCGGGTCAGATCTTGCAGCGCCACCGGAGCGCTGCGCGCGCATGCCCGATCGCGACGCGCGGCGACGGCGCTTCGTCACGCTCGTTACCGGCGCTTTTTGGCTCATGGCTACGGTACGAAGTACACGCGTCGTGTAGTGAAAAGGATTCTCAAGTGCTATAGTGGACTTTCCTCATCGCGACTAGACTTAGTGTGGACACGTAGTGAACTCAGCAGTGCGACTCAACCAGGACACAGCATCACCGGCGGCTCAAGCTCACCACGCATCGCACGCCGGCGTCGCGTGGACACGGCTCACGGGCATCCACAATCACGAGGCTGGGTATCGATTAATATAATCGACCCGTGCAAGTGACAAAGAGACTGATCATCCCTATTAAACCCTAGACTGCTCAAACTGTAAGCCTTTACATTTATTAAACGGACCACGGTATTTTACACAATCGATTCGAGTTACGATCACGTGATTTCTAACCTCTCACGCGTACATCCGTTCCTCGAGCCTCTCACCGCTAAGTCCTCTCAGCCCTGCTTCCAACCGCAGCGGTCCAGCGAGCTCTCCCAAGGAGAGTCGCGAACAGGTAATTATATAGAATAACGGACCACCCTCCAATCTCGATGACCTTGACATATGTTGTCAAGGTCATGACCCTGAGTGACCTTCAGAAGGTTTTAGCCGTCGCTCGTGGTTCGTTAAAAAGTTATTAACAAAAAATGTTTAACGAATAGAATATGGTTTCTAATATTTATCTCACCAAATATTAAAAATTTTGAAAAATGTTTTAAACAAAAGTTGTAGATCTCTTTGAAATATGCATTTTACGTCCTATTTATTTTTACTGTACGAGTGATAGTTTTCGAGAAAAATGATGAACTTAAACACGTAAGTCGCAAGTGCGTTTAGCACGGCGCGCTGCGCGCGCCCCACCCCCTCCTGCCCCCTCCCCCTCCTCTCCTGCTCCATCCCCCCTCCCTGCCCCCACCCCAGTTGTAGATCTCTTTGAAATATGCATTTTACGTCCTCTCCATTTTT